ACTTATGGTTACATGTGTATATCTTGGTAACCGCTACACCAATTTCTTCCAAACTTGGCACAGTTGTTGGTCCTGGTACAGCATACAAACTGGCCGAAAATGGGCAGAAATCGGAAATAACCACGCCCACCTCCCATATAACGGTAATTTCGTAGAAATACAAAATCTCGATAAATCAGTGAATATTGAAGCACATTTATTCAAAATTGATGAACAGACGGACGGACGGACGGACGGACAGACAGTCACCGCTTAATCGATTTCTCTTTTCATTCTGATCATTTATGTATACATTTGTCTATATCTATCTCGATTCGTTTTGCCTGTTACAAACAACCGTTATGTGAACAAAGTTATAATACCCTTGTGCACAAGTGCGCTCGGGTATAAAAACTATAAATATTAGATTAACCAAGTAAAAAACCACAACTGGTCAAAATGTAACTTAACTTAATCAGCTGACCACAAAGGTATATAGATAATGGACGAGTACGCGCCTCCCCCCTCCTCCCCTGCGTCCACCTTAACAAACAAATAAAGCTTATCAGCACTGCAAACATACCTCAGACCATGATACAAACATAGCAAGGTAGAACCGTTCTCTCAATTTGTCGGCCATGAATTTTTTTTTTGAAGTTTGCCAACATTTTAAAATCATATAAAAGTGAAAATAAAAAATTGAAATTGTTCGAAATTGTTGTTGCTTGAGATTGAAAATGAAAATGTGTGCGTGAGTTTGTGAGTAAATTTAAATATTAAATTGTTTGGAAACGTCAAGAATTTTAAAAGTGACTCTCAGCGGTTCTACCTTACTATATTTTTATCATGCCTCAGACGACTGTCCTGGGCATAGCTGTCACGGGTGGGACATGCTTCTCTGTTGAATTATTTCTTATCTGACTACGTGAAAACGACAATGCAATTGTGGTAAATATTTGCAATGAATTTCTAACATTATGTAACAAACACGAAACACAACCTCAACTTCTGTAATTAAATATTACAACTTTTTTGTCACGGGTGGGACAAGACCAATACTGCTTAATAATAATTCATAATATAGATAAAGCAGTCACACAGATTAATATATAACACAATTTTGTTGAAAGCAGATGAGGTCTACTATATATTTTTCATACCAAACACCAAACAAATTATGAATCGCAAATTATTTGACAGTGCATTCAACACAACCTACTTTAAACACAATCAAAAAATTTACTTTGAACTTGATTTCCAAACGTAAAACGGTAAAAAAGGTAATAAAAATGCATTTAAAGCTTTAATTTGTTATTTTTAATAAAACTAATAACGATTTCTACATAAAATCAAGAAGAAATCTCTATGGAATTTTCTTGGGTTTTTCGTCTGTTTTACCCCTTAGCCTAGAAACTTTTTATACAGATAATCTTCTTGTTTCTGTGGGCCATAACGAACATGATTTTTCAGCCCAAAAGGTAGTGGGGATACGTGTCCGAACCATGCACATAGCGGCGAATATTGTTATAACCGACATCAACCTTAAGATCAGGCTATGATTCTAGCCAATTTTATATCAATAGGTAGTAGTAATTGAATGACAAGCTTACGTCTGATGTCAAGAGGAATAAAAAAGGACGAAAGTCTAAAACTACGTAGCGCGGAATACACCTTAACTATTACCGCATTTATGTGATCAATACTTGTCCAATTCGATATTTTAAAAATACAGACAACAATACATAAATATTAACAAATAGACTAATAACTATTATGACTGCAACAAACACACAGAGTATGAACTACAAGATTAATTTGCAACACACCATAACAGCAGCAACAATGGTGACTCCAACCCAAAATGGTTACAGCGTACACTGGTAGCTGCTACTTGTAATCATAAACTTGTGGTTGCGCACGAGCGCGTGTGCACTTATAAAATATGTATGTATGTGTCGTATGTATGTACATTAGGGTGGTCCAAAAATACATGTGGGGAAAAAGTAAAGTTGGAATTTTTACGCTCCCACCCCCTCGGATTGTTCTATACCGAAAAATATACCCATATTTTTTTTGTTTGAAATCAAAAAATATTTAGAGGTCGCTCAAAGCGCTCAAAGTTTTCTAAGTATTTTATATGCGGAAAAAAAAACTTTTCGTATTCTTGAAAATCATTATTTTTCAATCGCAAGACTCTGTTCATACCTAACTGTTAATTTAAAAAATTGTTTCATAGTAACTATATTTTATAGGTCCGCCAAAACCTCCAAAATGCCCAGAAAATGCAATGAGAGGAGCAAGCAAATCTCAAGAATTCTTTTCCATTTCTACGAATAGTTGTTTTTCCCCCATATAAAATACATGCAAAATTTTGAGCGCTATGAGCGACATCTAAATAATTTTCGATTTCAAAATAATAAATTGGGATATATTTTTTCGATATAGAACAGTCCTAGAGTGTGAGCGCATTGAAATTCCGACTCAATTTTTTTTTTTGTACACCCTAATGTACATATGTACGTATTTGCAAATAAATAAAACCTAAAAAGTATAACTTAAAAGTGGTGAAGTATGCTTATTAGAAGGCGTTTAACCAACAAATAAGCTTACACGCTACAAAAAATAAAATAAAAAATTTACTTAAATTTGTATGTATTTCAATGCAAACTTTTGTGTGAATGCACGTGTCTGATTTGGTGCGAGGGCCACGCAATAAAACGCAAGCGCATTGTGTTGTATTTGCTGTTTAATTTTATGAGCGCAATTTATCATGCTTACGCTAATTTTTCTTCAAAATAAAAAACGTGTGGGCAACTTTTTTGAGCTCGAAAATGTGCAAATTTGCATCTGAATTTAGAGTGTCGAAAAAAAAAACGTATGTGTCTGCATATGCATCTACATCATAGATGGGCACACCAATACAGTCTCATTTTGTCATGGTATTCGTGAATCGCGCTGAGTAACAGTTGCCACTTTTCTATATTGTACAAAAGTGCTTCGTTTTTTGCGCGTGTTAGAAAACGCTCTTACAAATTTATATTTAATTTGTATTATGAACATGAAACGAAAATAACAAAATATAATAAAAAATAATGAAGAAATAATTTCAAATAATGAATTATGAAATTAATTTTTATAAGTACATATGTACGTACATGAAAAGTTTTTTAATTTAACTTCATTAAACTAATGTTTTAAAAAATGATAGTTTATTCAACAACAAAATTCACGAATTTAAAATTTCTAAACTGTGTAAAAAACTCAGTATTCAATAAAGTATACTAAATATATTAAATTGCCGTATCGTACATACATATATACATAAAACCCATTACAAAAAACTTTAAATTGGTTTACACAGTTCGGCAGTTTGACTTTTTACCATGACAAATAATGTCGCCTTATATTAAAAGTACGATTCCAAGTAGTCGTATTACCACATAACAAGCATTGGGCGTTATTGGCTTTTCTTAAAACCAAAAACTGTAATTGGCACTCATACTCAGCCATTTTGGGCATTGTTACATATATAGGTGGCAACAACGCGCTAAAATTACGAATAAAAATATTCAACGGCG